ATAAGTCTTGCAAAAGATTCAAAAAGAGTTTACGCCAATGCCAGCACAGGTAGCAAATCGTCAAATAAACAAATCATGGGGTTGAAGAAACACTGGTTGGAGATGAGGCGAGATATCGCTGGTTGTCTGTGAGTGGCGAGGGATGGGCTGTCCAGCGCCCAATGTTTACTATCAACTTCCGCAAAGCACCAACTTCCAGCGGCTGTTGAAACCATGTTCGTGGACAACGCGTTTAGGTTCAAGCAGCTGGCTCAAGCATGGTTGGGCTCAGACCATTTGTCATAAACCCGAAGAACAAAAACATCTGACGAAACCCTAAACCCTGGTTTAAGCATAAACCCTAAACCCTGAGTAAGCATCTGAACCTGTGATGTTCAGTCCTTAAGGTCCCCCAGCAAAGAGTCACCGACAGCTTTTCAGGCGCGACAGAGCTTGCAGAGGAGATGGCAAAGAGGTGGTTGAGGAACTGCTTCGAGGCAGGCGGCTGATGCTGCCACCTTCAAGTCTCCAAACCAGTGTCTTATTTGAGGGTGGACAAAATATGGGCGTTTCTCAACATATGGAATCCCTCCAGGTGGTTGGTTTCCTTTGGTTTCTCTGAAAAAAATACCAATCCGAAACGGGGTCCATTTTGAGAACCCCCATATGAAGACTAGATGGGTGTGCTTTTTTGAGGTTGGACCCCCTAAATTTGTGGTTTGCTTTTGGTGTTCCTTTAGCACAGACCCCAAAAACAGGTACCCTCTGAAATGACACACACACACACACCCAAATATGAAGCCGGGAAGTGTTGTGTTTTCTGTGTACCCAAGATTGCGGGCCAAGTTTGGGATTGAACATCGCCTTTTGGGCTCAGCTTAAAGAGGAGGTTCATGTTAGCTCGACTTTAAAGCGGCAGAATGTAAAGCCGGGAGATATTGTGCGATTTGCTGTGTTGCCTGGACTCCAATCGCTGTGTCAGGCAGTCTCAGAGAGACAGAGAGAGAGAGAGAGAGACTTTGAGTCTCAGAATATGAAGCCTAGCGGTTCGAATGAATTCTAAGCATCCACTGGAGCTGTTTGTGGAGAGAGGGGGACCAAGATCCTGGCTTGTCGTTCCTGTATTGCACAAAGTTATCCTATGCTGCAAACGATCACTCCCCGATCTTCCCAACACGTGGCGTAGCGGTTGAACCAGGAATCTAGAGACTCAGCGAGCCCTGGTCATGATTTGCAAAGAAAACGGGCTGGCAGAATCAGCATGAAAACGTTGTCAGAAGATTATTTGGGTGTGTTTGTCTTTGATGGTACCCCTTTTTGGGTGTAAGGGGCCATTTTGGGGTGTTCCCCTAAAAAAGAGACACCCATTTGGCTCATGCACATTCTGATGGTTACCTCCCATGGACCCGTGAACAGCACGAGCGCACGATTCTTCGAGGGCTAGCTGCAATGGCACTCATTCAGCCATTGGCCAACCAAAAGCGGGTGCCACTCGTTGGAAGCAGTTCGCAATGTGCCTTGTGAGAGCTATTTTGATGTTCCAGGCACTCTGAAACAGTTCGTTTAAACCAAACAAAAACAAGTTTGATCATCATAGGCAATTCAGATCAACAATTTGAACGAAACGGACATCCAAAGGGTGAAGTCAGGCAAGGGATCCGTGCATGGGTTCCAGGGGGCGTGGTTAGACGGGCGAAATATCACGAGGTGCGAGCCTAACAGGGTTCCAAACCACACACGATTTTCAATGGATTCAATGGACCCGGGTTTGAATAGTCCAAATATTGTCACGTCGCACAGCAAGGCCAATGTCGGGCTGGACGGGAGCATTTGGACAATTGGACAAAAAGCAGCTCATATTGTTGAACGTGTTGTGGTTGTTGCAATCTATTTAACTTGTCTAAGTCTTTGTGGAGGCCGAAGAATTTAGGTTCAAAATATGTAGACCATTCAAATTCAAAGGTTGTCAACTAGCTTGAAATACTAAACTAAATGGGAACCAGTCCTGCCAGTTAGGAGGACATCTCTTTAGCTTGCCGGGAAAGCAAGCTTTGTGAGTTACGGTCAAAATCTAAAGTTGAACTGTGGATGCACCAAATCAATTTCACTGCAGTTGGGATGGTTGAAACCCTACATGAATAGCTCTTCACTCTTTTTGGCGTGCTGTTGGATTCTAGTTTGTTCGTTTCTGTTCATTTTTGGTGGGGGCCTGCAAAAAACAAAAACAACATATGTTGATACCAGACCAAGAATTGCAAAGAGTTGATCAGCCACCTGCCAACTTAGGGCCCTTAAAAGATACATGTTGCAACCATTTGAAACATGTTGCTTTTTCAACACCAAAACAAAGGGACACCACCATTTACAAGGCAATGTCCAGGTGTATAATGTCAGGATCCCTGTTATTTTTGTTTGAGCCACCTGCTCAAATCCCGGGCAGATGAAGGTTAGAAAGGGACAATCTTGCCATAAATAGCTGCGGATATCCGCCTTAATCCTGTACATGGTTCTGCTTCTGTATCTGGTTTGTGCAAGGATCCCTGCCAACTCTTGCGTACAGCTTCAGGCCTGGCAGAAGCAGGGCGCCATGTTTGAGAAGCCGCTCGGGATGTCGTTTGGCGGGTTCGAAGGCCCGAAGATTCTGGTGGTTGGTTGGTACCCTTTTGGGGATGTTAAACTGCAGAGGTGGTGTTTTGTTTGTATTTGTTAGTTGGTGCCTTTTGGTAGGTCTCAAAAAAAGACTCCCTGGTGGTCTCGAAATTATTCTTGTGGTTTATCGCCAAACTTCGGTGGGAAACCCCAACATGAAACCCAAGAAACTCTCAAAGAGGACATTGCTTGACAGCCTTGCCGACCTGATGTTCACGTCCTTTGATTCGCTCTGATAGGAGTGCCAGTGTTCAACCATCCAGAACGGATTTCTTCGGTTTCAAAATGGAAATCAAAAGGGCGTTGGTTTCGAAGTCTCACTCGCTGAAATCCTGCGCTTCAAACTTTTTAGGAAAACAATATAGCGGTAAACAACAAGAAAATGAAAGAGAAAGCCTTGGCAAGCGAAGGAACGAGCCCTAGACAAGGAAACCAATCTCTTTTCTCGTCCTATATCTTTCTTTCCTTCCTTCACAAACATATTGATTCTTGGAAAGGTTGGTGTTAGGAAGGGAAAAACAAAATAATGACATAATGAAAGAGAAGATTCGTTCACTCCTCAATTAAGTATTCATTTCTCTATGGCATGCCAAGCATTCCTAATTCTAGCTAAGATGCCAGGACTTTATGATGTCCAGGTCCTTTCTATTAAACCGCTGTATCGCAAACCTAGAAGTTTGGGTCGAAGCTTTGGCCCCTTCACGGAAGTGACGAAGACTTCCCTTTTAAGGCACCCAGGTCCATCAACGAGACCGCCCTCCGGACCGTCGTCCGAGGTACGACGCGTTCGTGGTGGGTCAAGGGGGCGGGGGCGGGGAGTACACGCCGCAGACGGGCTTCGGGTGGTCCAACGGCGTGGCCCTGGCTTTGCGGCTCGGCCAAGAAAGGGGAGCAAATATGTGTTGGGGACCTCGAAGCATGACGTGGGGAAGCCGTTTTTTGGTTGTTGTTTTGTTTTTGCTTTTGCTTTCTTATTGTTTTTTTTCCCCCTTTTGTCGTTTTCTTGTGTTTCGAAAAGAAACAGGCAACTGAAAGGATTCCGATGTTTTGGGTGTGAATTCCAATAAGGAACCACCTCAAAAGTTTCAGAACCATCAGAGTGTCTGGGATTCCGATGATTTGGGGGTATCAATTCTGCCGGACTTGGGGGGTACGAGCCAAAGCCCATGGAGGTCCCTGGGAAGATTGCAGTGCCCTTCGAGTTGCTTTCGATCCCGAGTGAAACAGACCATCTCCTAAAACTTGCTGGTTCTCAGCAGGGAATGACCGACCGCTATCAACCATTCCCTATGGATAAGGGAATCCCTACGTTCATTCCCAAACCCTGGGTCATTCCCCTCCTGAGCACCAGCAACAAAAATCACAGGGAACTTCCAGCAAAAGGAGATCCCTGCGTGTTCCGAGTCTCAGCACTGCCGGGGATGGATGCGCAGACTAACAGCCATGCCTGCGCTTGAGGTTGGTGAAGAACGATGAGAGGTCGTCTCCCTACGTGCCAGGTGTTACCATCTTTAGCTAGGCACCCGATTTTTTTGTGACGTGCCCAGCTGCATCCAGCTGCCGAGCCGGGCCGATGCCACAGTCGCACATTTCGCCGTTGCCAGCAGCATGGGGTTCCCAGACTCATGACCCTCTTGGAACTTAGATGATGCATAAAAGACACAAGCAATGATGGTTCAAACAGACCATGTTGGAACACGTCGGCCCAATGAGTTGGGGTTTAGGTACTGGCTTCAACATGACCAAGCAGGTGGCAGCGGCAATCACGTGCAACCTTTTGCTTTGCTTGCCCCGAGTCTCGCTCGCGTGGGCCTATGTCGCACTTTTAAGGCGCTTTTGAATCCGCGCGTGGCCCTATGTCGCAGACTCAAAAGCTTTATGTCGCGCGGCCCTTTTGAATCCGCTTTATGTTGTACACTTGAAGCGCTTTTCCGGCCGTGCCCAGAGCAGGGTCTTTTTCGCGTGGGGTGGAGAGTCCGAGGCACATGGCGGAAGGGAAAATGCAACATGCGTTTGCTTTCTTTGGCCGAGCATGGACAGGTTGGTCTAAGTTCCCTGTAAACATCCACTCCACTTTGCAAGAGCCATGAAACGCCCGTTGAACCCACTTACAGTTGTGGTAAGACACGAAATGGATTGGGCATTCAGAAGTAGCGACCCCATTTGGCCGGTGCTTGTTTCGTTGGAGTGCGGATTCGCAGTCTTGGAAACAAAGGTGGGACCGAGTCTGTTTTCACCCTTGCAGTAGTTAGATTTGGTGCCCAGCTGCCCCTGCTGATCTCCTAAGACCAGACCAACCATTTTGTCAACACGAATCAGCCAAGTGCCTGTGTTTTCGGAGCACGCCATGGTTTCCGCGCTCGTGTCGCCAGGTCAATGAGCGCCGAAATGAGCGCCGAAATGAGCGCCGAAATGAGCGCCAAGACGCGAGGAAAACGGCTGAAGTGCAATGGGATGCTTCCCATGGCTGTGGGTCAAAAATATGTACCAAAATGGAACCCTGGTAGATGGAAACATGGACTAAAACCTGCGGTCCCCTGGTTTAATTTTGACCCATACCCCCATGATCGGCAAGATCCACTTCGTAGCAGCTGGTCGGTTTGTCCTAGTATTCAAACCGGATTTATCCATCCCAGCTGGAGCTGGATTTTGCACATCCACAGTTGGACCGCTCTGCGGTGTTTACTTCCGGGGTTGCAAGGCGTGAAACGAACTCGCTTCCATGAAGTTGCTCAGGGCCCCTTTTGTTTTCAGGTGGCAAGGATAGTCGTTTGCGAGAGGTCAAGTCAGGCCGTGGTTGGTTCCAAAGGTTTGATAGGAATCAAGCCCAGGGTCCTCTTGTGTTCGAACAAGAGGATCAAAGAGACGGGGTTGCATGGTTGTGTTCGGAGCCTTGGAGCCTGAGTGCCAAATCAACCGCAATTTTCCCAAACCCAAAGGGCAAAGAGGCGTGTGGAAATTTATCAGACTCCCCGTTGGCCTGTTTTCCAAGTAAACAAATTTTGGTGGGTTGTCAACATTACGTGTGTGCAGCCAGTGAGGAAGTCGCTCTGCAACTCCAGCTCGAGCTTGGCTCCTCGCTTGAGCTACGATCAAACCCGGGTAGATGAAGGTGAGGGACAGTCCCAGCCAGAACTAGGTGCGGCCGCCTTAGTTTCCTTACATGGATTGGGTAGAACCCATTTTCATACCGATGCCAGGTCCCCCAATAGTGCCCATTTACCCTTTTTTGGGGCAGGGTTCCCCTAAAATAGACTACAGAAAACCCTTTTCTACCCTTATTCTAGCCTCTCAAATCTGGAGGACCTAGTTTTGCCTCCATTTGCTTAAGAATATGTTTTATTTTCCCTTGTTGGTCTTAAAAGGAATTCCTCACTACTGGAAATATGTGTTTTTTTCCTGGGGCCTGAACCAAATGGAAGTATCTATCACGACCGGATTCTTGTCCTATCACCACCGGATTCTTTGTCCCCTACTATGATAGGTTCTTAAATGGGTGGTGAATTCACCTACCCCAAAATGGGATCCGATCCAAAACGGCTTTGACAACCACCGCCATCTTTCATACCGATGGGTTTTGATTCTGACTCACTTGTGCTCCCTTGCGGCGTCTTTGGCTCAGCCCCTCACGCTCCAATCCCCTCCGGGCGCGCTGCCTGGCCGAGGCCTCAGTCAGAAAAACTCCGAGAGCACAAGGCGGTCTTATGGCTAGGTCCCCCAGGTGCCCTTCTCTCCCATTTCTTGTTTGGTTGGGAGGCTTCGGGACCCTAAGTAGACTACAGAAAAAAACTGGTACCAACTTCTTCTAACCTCTCTAATCTGGAGGACCTAGGTGGGTACCAGTTGTTAGGGGGGACAGGGAAACCAAAAGGAAACCAACCATCTTGGGGATCCCCCAAACCTGACATACCCGGTTCCCCATGTGAGAGTTGATCAATACTCCATTTCGGGCCGAGCGCGTCCAGGACCATTGTTACCTGTTCAACCATGTGCTTGAAAGCATCAAATAGTCTAGTGGTGTTCAAAGTGTCCCATGGTCATCCCATGTCCGGACCTTTTGATCAACCCTGAGAAGCTATGGCAAGCTCGAAGAAACTCCGGGAGCCCTCAAGCGACTCCACCCACTCAGGCCCAAAGCTTTGCCCATTTCGCAACGAAATACCCGGTTTTGGCCGGTGGACTTGGTCAGACCCGTGGCCATGTTTTGCGTTTACCGCGCTTTCGGCACGGCGAAGTGTCGCCGTGTTTTGGAGTATCATGTTAAAAAGGCTTTGCAAGTGTGAAAATTGACCGCATCGGTGTGCTCTTTCACTTGCAGGAACGTTTGTTGCGGAGACCCAAGTGGCAAACTTTTATCCGGGCGGTGCGCATTGTCAGTGTGGAAAAGGGCCTTCAAAAACTTGTAGCGTTTTGGCAAAGGCACAAACTCTAAACCTCTTGAGCGGATTCTTCTGTGAGCGCGGGGTCCGAGGTGGATGATCCGATCATCGAACCTACTCGCTTATGGTGCCAAGTCCCCGGTTTTCGCAGCAGTGATGTGTGTGTGTGTGTGTGTTGCGCGTGTCACGCGAATGCATACTGTGAACATTTGAGTTGGACAAGGCAGACCGCACTGATCATGGGATTTCCCACCACTAAAAGGAGAACAACCTCTGACACAAGTCTAGATGATCGATCTGAGCAGGACTCAGGGGCACTTTGACATGCTTTGATAGAGATGAGTGGCCTTCGTTGGCTGTGCGGACCAAAGCTACTTTCGATGTTGCTGATGAATCCTGCCAGGCGGTGCCCTAAATGGCTAGTGTCCGGCCAACAAAACAAGGGAACCACGGGTGGCGAATTTGATGTGAGCATGTTGATGTTTGTTGCCCACAGCAGGATCGTGGTTCATTTCACTTTGGTTACGACTGGACCAACCGGATCCTGCTAGTTTCACTTTTTCAATCCTTCCAAGTTTGATCAGAGGCTGTGTCCCTTCTTGTTGGTTGACATCGATACATTTGAATATCACCCCTTGGGATGAAACCGTAGTCCGATCCATCTGCAATGTACAGCAGCCCGTGATGAACGATTTTCCGGAAAGGAAACCTACAGGGCATGGTTTCATGTATGTTGTCCAGACTTCCAAATATTAACTTCGGATCAAACATGGTTGTCACCACCCTCGCCCAAGAAGCAAAGAGATGGAACATGAACTCTTTATGGATATGTGGTAACGGATCTTTGGAGTTTAACTTTTTAGTTGATTCAGGTCGGATTCTCCATTGGACCTTCAAAAAGTTAAGTTTTTTGCAGAGGGGTCAACAGCAACCAAGAACTCGCAGTCTTATCAAGCGCATAGACTTTTGATCGGGCGGTGATACTCCACTTGAGAAATGGATCGCCTCCGGAGACGTGCTTTTTTCTGGAACGATGTCGGGTGTCCCACTGTCACCCCAAGGTGTAATTCAAAACACCTGGAACTTGATGGCACACCTAGAGTGACGTGAGGTTCGGTCAAAGGTCCAATGTCCAATAGTTTGTGGGCTGTTTGGGAGGGACATGGGGAGGACTCACTAAACGTCCGACAGTTGGTGGGTCTTATCAATTGTCCCATGTCCTCTTGGGGAATCAAAGTATTTTGACGGTGGCTCAATAAAATGCTACCCTTTGCGTGTTTGTTTTTTCCTGAAGAAGCTTCTCATGGTGTGTGCGGTGTTGTTTTTGAGGGGGACGCAAAAGTGGTGCAGGGCTGAGTATTGAGATCTCGTCGCCTGTAGAAAGTCGCATGACTTGTGAAATGTGCGACAGGCGACTGGCAAGGCAATGATGAAGCAGTACCAGAGTCTTCAGACCGGGTTTTGGCCTGGGGGTATGTAGAATTGGGGGAAAAAGGTCCTACTGTATTTGAGGAGCCATTTGACATTTCCCAGCCAATACAACTTGTTGGAGGCTGCAAAACAAAGGCTGTCTGGTGAGAACCATGACAATCGGCCGCGTTTTGAAATGACGATCATGGCAAAGCAGGCAACTGGAAGCTGGCCCACTTTATACGGCCACTGGAGAAAGGTTTGCCTGAATCTTTGTTGAAAAGAAGTAGGGGAAGCGGAGTGGGGTTTGTTGGTTGTCTAGAAGCTTCTCAGGAAGGGTTCTGGCCACTGCGCTCTACAAGCATGGCTCATCCTCTTGGTAAAACGGACTTGGCTTCCTTTAGTTTTACTCTTGGCCATCCGAAAAGGGTCCTTTTGGGGGACACCTCACCAAATGCAGATCCGACTTTGAAAGCATTGCCACGTGCTCAGGCTCCACGATGATGAGGTGGATAAGGCCAAGAAGAAAAATGAGGCAGGAGAAGTGCCACGCGGGTTGACTTTTTGATAGATCCACTTGTGGGTGGAAATTTGACTGCACCTCATCCGTGCCTAGTAAAATTGGTGTTCAACATTACACCCTTGGGAAATCTCCTTAAGTCCAAATTCACAAAGTCGGCTTCCGGACATCCCAAATGGAGTTTGCGTGAATGGGTGTTATCTCATTTGGGAGCACGCAAAAAACACGAGTTGTTGAGGTCGGGGAGTTCATCAAACAAGTTTTAGGCTTGAGGTATGCAAGGACCGCACTAAGCTTCGAGCGGCCACCCGAGCACCTGCCCAGCTCCCCGTCAGGTGGAAAGCTTATGGACAAAGATTGATCTGAGACCTTCTGGACATGTGGCTTGTGGCTCACGATGCCCCCCATGCAGGAAGTTCCTTGTTATCAGATCTGATTCCCTGCACAAGTGATTTCAACGCGAGAGCTCCCTTCATTCATTTATCGCCGGTCCAAATCGTTGGGCTATGCCGCGGGTCTTTTCTCGCTCCCTCGGTTCCTGGACGTTATACCTTTTGGGTTTGGACCATTTTTGTGGTAAACAAAAACCATGAGCCTTTGGTTGGCCCATCCACGGAAGTGCGTGAAGAGAAATACCGGAGTGGACACTGTGGGTTTTTTGGAGAGCTGTTGAGCGGATGTGTCTTGAGCTTCCAGGTAAGACTACGCAGACTAGGTGTAGGTGGCGTGTCCTCACGCTACGTATGCTCTGAATACAAGCGAAGGTTTCGCTTTGGGTTTTTATGTGGGGTCCATGGTCCCAATTTAGGAGACCCAAGAGATATGACTCAAGGGTTTGCCAGGACGAACACGTGTCGGATCTTTTTTGGCCGAGAAGGATTCTGTGCATAATGGCATAATGAGCTTGTCTCGGGTTGAACGAGCTCACCGCATTGCCAGTAGACCTGTGCCTATGTCCACATGATATAAAAAGCACTGAATGAGGGAGTGGTTCAACGGACGCAGCGGCGAAACCGCTGCCAGGAGCTCTCGCTGAAAGGCCGGGCAATGCTTTGCATGGCGCCCGTCGAGTTGGAAATTACAGATGGGACAGGCGAGGGCGTTGTTCCGTGCCTCATTTATA